AAATTAAAGAATAATTTATAGGAGCTATTTTATATAGAAACTTAAATGAAAGAAGAGCCCACACTAACTCCCCACTTCTAAATGTTTGGGAAATAACTAGAGAAGAATCAAGAAAAAAATATTTCATACAAGGTTTGAACATCAGTAAAACTGAAGACACACACTGCCAGATGACTGCTCCATGGAGAGAGATGTGTGTGTTCACATCCAGGCTCAATTACACCCCTTAGTCTTACACAAGCAAGGAGTTTCCAGATGCACCCTGGGCTGGAGAAAAAAGCAGCCCAGAATCAGCTGCCTCTTGTGGCGAGGCCTGGAGAGAACTGACATTTGCAGAGGTGCACAGTCTTGGCAGACTGCCTCTTCTCTACCCAGCTAAAGGGCCATGTATTGTACATATATCACAACAGTGTGTAAAAGACCCCTTTAAATTGAAAAGAAAAAGCAGAAAAAAGCAAGCTTGGACAAGATAATGCAAGTGATTCGCTTCCCCTTATCACCAAGAGTGGGCTTTCCAAGAATCTCTATAAAGTCACAGGAGCTTTCCTTTCCCCAGCAGCTTCTTAAGTGCCCTGGAGATGTCCCTGTTCCTCAGGCTGTAGATGAGTGGGTTCAGCATGGGTGTGAGGATAGTGTAGAAGACTGACACCATGCTGTCCTGCTCTGGGGTGTGCTTGGAGGCTGGTCTCATGTACATGAACATGGCAGCCCCGTAGTAGAGCCCAACCACTAACAGGTGAGAGGAGCAGGTGGTGAAGGCTTTGCGGTGACTTTCCCCAGAGCCCATGTGGATGACAGCTCGAAGGACACAGGAGTAGGAAATGATGATGACTGCAACTGGGAAGATTAACATCATCACACAACAGATGAACATCAGCCTTTCAAATGCAGTTGTGTCTGTGCAGGAGAGAGGTAGGAGGGCTGCAACATCACAGAAAAAATGGTGAATTTCCAAAGAGTGGTAGTAGGAGAATGACAGAGTGGCTCTGAGCACAATGATGCCATCCAGAGAGCCCAAGATCCAGGAAGCACCAGCCAGGAGCATACAGAGTTTCTGGCTCATGAGCACTAGGTACCTTAAAGGCTGGCAAATGGCAGCATAGTGGTCATAGGCCAACGCAGCCAACAGGAAACACTCAGCTCCAAGCAGGGACACATAGAAGAATATCTGGGTCCCACAGCCTGCCAGAGAGATGGATTTCATGCCAGATAGGAAGTTGACCACCATCTTGGGGACAGTGGTACAGACCAGCATGAGGTCCATGAGGGAAAGCTGGCTGAGGAGGAAGTACATGGGCATGTGCAGCTGGGCATCCAAGTGGATGAGCAGGATCATGGCTGTGTTCCCCATGCAGGCCACTGTGAAGATGGCCAGGACCAGGGTGAAGAGGAAGGTGTGGATGGGGCTGTGATCAAAGATTCCCAGCAGGATGAAGTCAGAGTTAAAAGTCTGGTTTCCCCATACCATCCTGGAAATGTTGCCTTATCTGAAATTTAGAGAGAATACCAGCATATTTATTACTTCAATTTTCAAAGGCATATTGCACCAAGCCCCTCCACTGGGCAGTGTACCCAATGCAGGCATAAGTCACTATCACCAACCATGTTGGGAGACATGGTCCAAGGCTATTTCACTATTTTCATTCATCCTTCAAAAGAATAACTTCAGTAGCACTTCCTTAATGTTTACATACAAGAGTTCATAAGAGCTTACTCTTTTACTCACAGGTAGCGTAAATAGAAAGTTTAGGAGAAAGTAATTATACTTGTCTATGCTAAATTATCCCTATCATAGGAAACTCCTTGATGAAATTCTTTTTTCATTTTGATAGTCTCTTCAACAGCAAAAACCTTGTCCCCATGTTTTCTTCCTACCATCTAACCCCCGGCCAAGTGAAAATACACTGGGACTTTGCCAAATGGAAACACATGCATACTTTGATTCAGAGAACAGATTAATAGCCTGTATTATAACTTTTACATCCCAGACCAAGCCATCTCTTGTCTAATTTTATGAAAATATCTAAGAAAATATTCAAGAAAGGAAAAAGAGAGAATTCAGTTCTCTTTTAATGATAATTTCCTCTCTCCTAACTCTGTATGGAAAGGGAACTAAGTTTTTCCTTGTTTGTTTCTTCATGTGTGTTTGTGTTTTTGAGAAATTGATTTTTTTCCTTCTGCAGTAATGTCTTTTAAATTGACTGATGTAAACATGTGGAAAACAAGAGAGGGCTCATTCTGTGGTATTTAAAAGCATCACTTCAATTTTGAGGAATAAGGGTATGTCTACCACTACAAGTAAAGTGAAGAGTATAAGAAACACCCATCCCAGGCTGGCTCAGGAGGGCAGGATCCAGGATGCCCTTGTGTGCAGGAGAAAACATTTTAGTCATGAGCCTGGAGACACAGATAGACCTGGTTATAAGCACATGCTTCAGTTTTGTTTCTAAACAAAGAAATATGAAAAATCCAATTAAAGCTATTGGTTGAAAATATGGATCAACATAGAATGATTTTGCATGTGGAGAAACCTCTCAGATGTTGAATGTATGATGGCTGCAATAGGTTACCAGGAAACACATATGGCATGGAGACTGGGAGAAAATATCTGCATCTCTGGAGCCAAGGTATCAACAGTGGAAAGAGCAGATGTTGGATTAAAAAAGAAATCACCAATCAGGCCTTTGTAAAATGTCAGTTATAGTATCTAACCCTGATTTTAAAATGTCTATAAAATATAATATAGTCATTTTCCAAATTAATTTGCCCCAAAGTAAAACTCCATTTGAATTCTCTAAATTTAAAGGCTTCTAAATCCCCAGACTTCAAGATTTATCATCATTTTTTACTGACTTATTTTTTTTAGAAAAAATAATGTAAAGAGAAGAAAAATTAAATGTAGAGAAGAAGTAGAGGCATAGCGTGAAAATGAGTTCTAAATTATAATCCAAAGAAAGACTGATCACAGATCCTGAGATGTTTAGAGATCCTGGAATTTTAAAAGACATTTGGAAGGAGGAAAAAATCTAAATTACAAAGAGATCTGAGGCCACCTAGCACATTTGAGAGGATCCCCAGGCCCCTGACTCCAGCATGTCCCAGGATCCTGTAATGTAGACAAACCTGGAATCTCCACATGGAGATTCCACTGGCCTTCACTGTGAATCATTTCTGTGTGATTTACATCATCTCACTGAATTCTTCTTTGCTTTATTTTTATGGCACCCAGTCATATAATTTTGTTGATGTATTTGATGACTCATATGGAACATAAATAAGGACACAAGGTAATTTGGGGTGAAAAAATCACTACCCTGAATAATTATAAACAAAAGTTTTCACTAGATCAGTGGTGGCCAACCTATGGCATCATGTTGCTTATTTTTCTTTTAAGACAAAGAATGTTAATGTATGAGTTGCTTTTTTCTAAACTAAAACCTCAGTATTCAGGTTTAATTGCACTGTTGGTGCTTTGTGATACATTAGTGAGCTTGAGGTTGGAGTCTAGGCACTCATCTCTAAAAATTTGCCATCACTGGACTAGATTGAATATAAAAATATTTTTACATGTAAATTTTCATGTCTCATTTAAAGGAGAGGATTGAAGCTCCTTATATGTAGTTGTTTTTATAAAGTCATTTTGATGTGCTTATCTAGCAACTAGAAGATATATTTATCATAAATATTTAATAAACATTCAAATAAAGTAAAATAACTCAGTCATTAAGAAGATTTCATGTCTTTTTCTCTACCACTCTTCTGCAGAGAGAACACAGGATTTAGGTTGGGGTGGTGGCAAGCTTAGTATGTTGTCAAAAGTACGTACACTATAGTAATCTATAAAACATATACAATATTTTAATAATCAGGCTAAGGAACATTTTCCTCAGTATAATTCTGTATTGTCCACTCCTTTTCTCATATAAATTATCTCATATGTTTCCTCAACAAAGTCAGACTTTCAGACAAGGAGAGACCATCACAGTGGCCACACTCACAGGTGAGGGTCAAGGAGCAGATTCCCATCCAGATCTTAGGTTCTTCCTGCCCTGGGAACCAGCACTTGCTCTTGGATGGGGCTTACTACCATACGACGTTGTCTTCTATCTCTTATGGAGGAGATTCTAAGGCAGCCACTCGGTCCACAGGCCCTGCGACTCAGATCCCTGCCCATCACAGAGTCCCAGACATAAAATCCCCACCTCCACAGGGGGCTTGTCCCTAGACTGCAATTACAGAGCATCTTGCCCTCTTTGGAAGCTCTCCATATAGCTCCCTTGATTCTAGTTAGTGTTGCTGTCTGTGGTCATGCTTCACACATTGACAATTGTAAATGATGGTTGCCTGCTTTTTAAAAAATATTTTTAAGAAGTAGTGTTGATTGTCAAACTCATTATTCACAAATTTAAAAGAAAAGGTTAAGATTAAAAACAAATGCCTAATTGCAAATTGTTGAGCTATACCCATCTACCTGCCTTCTCAACTGTATTAACATTTTTACTCTTTTCCAGGATGTCTTATCAAATATTCAGGCTGAAATAAACATGAATTGAGCTGAACTTGCAGAAATCAAACTGTGTATGAGTATGACTCTACCAGTTCAAATGGGTCCACAGGCTTCATGCAGCCTTCCTGGCACCTTTCAACAAGTCCTTTGTGCTAACCTCAAAAGGTGTCCTCCCAAAGCTTCATGTGGAATTTTTCAGAGGTGGCTGGATATAGTATATGCTTGATTCGTGGTGCAATGCTGGGACTAAGGGCACTGAAATTAAGGGTGTCAGTCCTTCAGGCCTAGGTAGTCTGAATAAGATAAAAGGGACAGAAAGATGCTGTTAAGGTCTCTTGTTGCTTGGCTCTTGTCTGCCTGCCATGAGTGGTTGCCCCTGTGCCTCCCTGCCTTGGAGCCAGCTGACTATGGACTGAAACCTCTGCCAGATCAACCTTCTCTTTTTAACTCTAGGTGTCCAGTATGTTGTCTTAGCAATAAGAAAAGTAGCTCATTCACCAGACTTCTCTTAATGCTGAAAGTTTTCCTGTTCCTAAAACAATAGCATTTCAGAAATGGAAAAATGAGCATTTTTCTTAACATCTTCCAGTGTCCCTTTTTAAAATTTATTTATTTAT